GATCCACCCACCTTGGCCTCCCAAAGTGCTAGGATTACAGGCATGAGCCACTGCGCCCAGCCCTCGTCTTCATTCCTTAAGAACAGAGGAAAAGACTGGAAAGAACGAGTCTCCTTGTTAAGGGGATGGTTGGGTTGAAGAAATCACAGAAGAAAGCCCTTGTCGGAGCAGGAATATTCATCTTTATTTGGACTCCATGACACCCTTCCTATGCCCTTCACTTAATGTGAATGTATTATACATTGTTCTAGATTTGGGGGGAAAAAAAATCTCTTATGACATAAAATTGGTAGGGAATGGGTTTACCAGAAAGGGGATACAAAACACACACACCCTAAGCTCCAAATGATTCACTTCTGCTTGGGTAAAGAGCTAATTGAATGAAAGAAATTGATTTAACACTTAAATTATACACCAATCACCTTTATTGGCTGCAACCCTAAATTAGTTTTTCTTAAAACAGTAATACTTCACTTTTACTTTTTTTATTTCCATTAAAGCAACACCATTGCGCTGCAAAACTAACTCTCTGCAATTAAGTACCTGATACATGTTTTCTGCTTTTAACAAGTGATAGAAAAGGTTACATCATCTCATTAAGAAAACATTTTCCTAAGACATTTTGTTTGGTTTTGGTTTTCTGGTGAAAGAGTTACAGCAGATGGCTATTTCAAAGATTGATTCTTTCTCCTTTCACAAGTCGAGCTCGAAACATCCAAATATCCTAGAAATAATACCAAACAGAGTGAGTTGATGGAACACTTCAATCTGCCCTCCATTTACCTTCAATTTCACCATAAGACAAAGTTGATTTCTAGCCTCTATGAAAGGTTAAATAGGTTAAATAGGGAAAATAATTCCTGTAATAGTTATATTGATGAGTAAACAAAACAACTCAAATTAAGCTACTTAATCAACTCTTTTTAAAGAATTTTTTGGGGACACAATCTCACCCCATTGCCTAGGCTGAAGTGCAGAGGCTCACTGCAACCTCCACCACCCGGGTACAAATGACTTTCCTGCCTCAGCCTCCTGAGTAGCTGGGATTACAGGTGTGCATCACCACACCTGGCTAACTTTTTGTATTTTTAGTAGAGACAGGGTTTTGTTATGTTGGCCAGACTGGTCTCAAACTCCTGGCCTCAAGTGATCTGTCCGTCTCGGCCTCCCAAAGCCTCCCAAGTGCTGGGATTACAGGTATGAGCCACCAATCTTGGTCTACTTAATTAGCTTCTAAAACAGTGTTAACTAAATTAAGTCAGTGGTTACCCCAGCTGCTGTCAGTCCTTCCTGTTTTATTCAGGATATTTATTGGTGCCAGGTACATAACTGGGTCGATGTCATGTCTGGTTACAGAACAAACAGTTCACTGCCATTTTTCTGCTTACTATTTTTTTTTTTTTTTTTTTTT